GAAACCATGGAACATCATGTTTGCCGCTTCTTCTTGTTAGCTTCGACCGGAAGAGGTGCGCTCTCGACCCGCGAATCAAAAATGTTTGTCGCTTCTTGCATCAAGGGACTCTCTTGGAGGCCCTGCGCAAGCCTCGGAACCGTATAGGAGGGGAACTGCGGAAACGCGGAAATCAGTAATCCCACCAGCCCTTTAGGGCGTAGGTGGTTTAGAGTGTTTCCTCTTCCACCCCCTTCTTTCCCTTCGGGGGGGGGTGTCACTGTTCCCTTCTAACAAATACCCCCTTCCCCAGGCGACTGGTAGCCAACCAGGAACCATGAGGGCACCCCCCCCCCACCATTCCTTGTAAAAAACCATACAAAGGAACACTATGCCTGCTAATTCGGAGCATGCGCAGCCAACCCGACGCGGCCTCCCCCCATCATCCCTGTCAAGAAAACAATACAGAGTACACTTGGCGGCGGCGGCGGCGGCTGCGGCGGCTGCGGCGGCGGCGGCGGCTGCGGCGGCTGCGGCGGCGGCGGCGGCGGTGGCGGCGGCGGCGGGGGCAGCGGCGGCGGCGGCGGCGGCGGCTGCGGCGGCGGCGGCGGGCGGCGGCGGCGGCGGTGGCGGGGGCGGCAGCGGCTGCGGCGGCAGCGGCTGCGGCGGCAGCGGCTGCGGCGGCCTGCGGCTGCGGCGGCGATTTGGCAGCGGAGCGGCGGCGGCGGCGGCGGCGGGCGGCGCGGCGGCTGGCGGCGGCGGCGGCGGCGGCGGCGGCTGCGGCGGCGGCGGCGGCGGCGGCGGCGGCGGCGGCGGCGGCGGATTGGCCCCCAGTAGCTGCCCATCCAAAGACGACTGCTGAATATGCTGAGGCTCGGCCCAGACTCGGGTGCTACGTTTGTGTTGGGAGGGCGGGTGGGAGTGAGCGAGACGGCTTGCGGGCGGGGAGGGAGTCTTGACCCCTCCCCCTACCCCCTACCCTGGACCTGGGCGCGGCGTTCCGCGAGTCGTCGGAGCGTCCAAAACGGCCCTGGCGAGGAAGCCAAAATCATTGGTCTTACACGGGTTTGGGCCCCATTTTGGCCTCGTGGGGGCAGCGCTGGTTGAGGGACCCCCCTTTGTTGATTGATCTCCTCCGAGATGGTCCCAAGAGCGATCCCAAGGCTCCCAAGGGTGCCACAAGAGGGCCCCAAGAGGTGGCCAGGAGGCCCCGAGAGGCCCCCAAGAGGCCCCCAGGATGCCCCCAAGAGGCTTCCAAGAGACCCCCAAGAGGCCCCAAGAGGCCCCCCAGAGGCACCCAAGACGCTCCAAGAGGCCTCGGCGACTATGCCAAAATCATTGGTTGTACTAAGGTTTTGGCCACAGTTTGGCCTCCTGGGGGGAGGGGGGGGGCACTGCTTAAGACGACTCCAGGAGCGCCTAGGAGAGCCCGAGATGACCTCAAAGATGGCTCAAGATATCCCAAGATATCTCAAGATGGTTCCCACGATGCTCCAAGAGGCCCCAATACCGCTCCAAGGCGGCTCCACGTGGCCAAAGAGCTCCCCCAGGAGGCCCCGAATAGGCCAAACTCCTTCCAACACCTCAGGGAAATCAACGTTGTTGGCTTTCTCGCCTTTCGCTTCCGATGGCCATCCGAGGCCTCAAGATGGCTCCAAGATGGCCCAAGAGGGCTCCAAGAGCGCTCCCAAGGCTCCCAAGAGCGCTTCCAGGGGACCCCAAGAGGCGCCCTGGAGGCCCCAGGAGGCCCCAGGAGGCCCCAACAGGCACCCAAGAGGCTCCCAAGAGACCCCCAAGAGGCCCCAAGAAGCTCTCCGAGGCACCCAAGACGCTCTAAGGGGCGTCTGGGACCGCCAAGAGGCCCCCAAGATGCTCCAAGAGGCCTCCACTGGGGGGCAATTCCTCTGTGTGCTGCCCACTTCCCTGATCGAGGCAATTCCTCTGGGCATCGTTTCTGAATGGGCTGGTGGGGTTACGCAAAGCGTCTAGAATTTCCGTTAGGTATTCAACGGCTTGTGGGCCTCAAAGGCTTCCTGGTTTCTTTTCTGGGATCTGAGGGGGGCCTTAATTGTGGTCTGTTGTGCAAGAGTAGACAGGGAACGAACTTGAAAAAAAAAATGTGGGATTCCCATGTTGTTTCAGTTCCCGTGCCTGGGGTCCGTGGATACAGGCCACGGTCCGTTGGGTAGCCTCTCGGGTCTTCGTGAAAATATAGGCAGGTCGTGAGTTTGAAATAAAGGAATTAGTTGTTTCAACTCATGGGATCATGGGATCTCGATTTCTACGGTGGTTTCAGGGGCAGTCAAAAGGACGCGAAGACGCTTGGAGTGCCAAGACAGCGTCAGAGCAACAATATTCCCGAAACATCTTTAGATGTGACTCCGAAGTCTTGATGGGGCTCGAGGAAGAGGATAGGGAGTAGGAGTCCCAACTTGAACAAAAGAAAGGAATCTCTGGAATTCCCTTTGTTTCAAATTCCTCGGTTTGGGAGCGTTTGAAGCGGGCAAACGTGAGAAGGCGA